AGCTTTGGAAAGTCATCACCTTATTCAGGAAAATGGTGATTTCTGTTTACTATCAACGCATTAAACTCGGATGTCGCATAACTTCCAAAACCCGCCATGTGCATGGTAATTGATAAGACTGTTCGACAAAATTATGTCTGGCCTGGGCTTGGAAGCTTTAATATGCAGATAACGTAGAATATTCGAGAATCTTGCGATGTGCTCGATCTCAGGTGTTTTGTTTATTTTATTTGAGTAAAGTTTATTTGTTTTTATTTAAAGGCCGCGTAATACAAACAGAAAAAAACAAAAATGATAACGCTCTGCAATTAATTTTCAGGTTTTTTTGTCAGTCAAACATTTGAAAAGACGGGCGATCCGTGAAAATAATCTTTACCACAAGACCTCATGGTGCTTCGAAAACATTACAATAATTATCCACTGAGAAGCGTTATTTTGATGCAACATGTACAAATTCTGATAATTCATTCGTATTTACTTTGTAGGTTTACAAAGCACGACGCCATAGCTGTATGCCTGGCTATATTTCTTCCTATGACTGCAACAATACTTACAATGGTGTCGATTCTGCCAGCACTAGGGGCCTCACCGTTGCCTGACTTCTCGAATCCGGTTAAGGTATGGTACTTAACTGAAACGGGCCTTTTGATTCGCAGTCTCACGCATGCGTTGTGTACTTGGTGGCCATTCAGGCTGGAAGAAATAGGACCCTGACGCATCGCTTAAAAAATGAATCGCAGTTTCAAGAAGTTTACAACGATTGAAAGACATCTAACACACAAGTGAATACTAATCCGAAAAAATGTCTTATTCGCTTGAACGAGTGGAATCTTCTGTACATGCTTTCCACGGGAATTTCCGTCCTGGTTCATAAAAATATGAAAGGGTCAGTATCCGAAAAATTGTACACCTACTCCTCCCCTAACCTGACAAAAGTCAACTGATAACAACTTAGGGTTAATGCTGGGTTACGCAGTTGCTCAGATACTGACATTGATATAAATCAACGTCCACAGGTAATCCATGATTTGTTTCAAAAGGCACGAATAACAATACTCTTCTTGGTTTTAATGATTTGCAGGGCTTTGAGCCAAGAGGGACAACTTTAAGTGATCAGATTGTGACCCTGGGAAATTACGAGTACGCACTACAATTAGATCGCACTCTTTTTACGCAGATATTCAACATCTCACACCAAAGCCAACAGCGTGTAAACTCTTCACCAGAAGATAATTCGTCTTCCGTCCAGCGGCGCAGGCGTCGATCGGCACAACTGCCTCCTTGCAGTCCCTTCTCTCCCATTTTTAGAATCGACGATAACGTAATATTTGTGTTTGAGGCTTCAGACTCCAGTCAGAGCATGTTTGAGGCAAGTAAACTGAAGGCCGCCTGTTCCATAGAGAATGACATTCTGAGTTCTAGCTCTTATTCCTCACAACATTGCTCTCGAATTCTTGACACAGAACCTGGTAAAACGCGATGTTGCCCGAATCCATCTCTTGGAAATTACATTGCTCTGCTTAATAACCGCACAACATGTCAAGACATAACTGATCAGGATGTTTCAAATGTCAAGAGTTTGTTGCTTCAGTGCCACCGTTACTTTGTGAAACAAACCTTGGAGAAGGACTGTGCTATTTACAGTTGTAAGGGCGTCCCGGCTGTTTGCACTAAATACAATGCTGTGTACAACATTTTCCAGTTTATAACAGATGATGAGATGAGTCCGTCCAATGGTATGTTCTTGAGGTATACTGCATCGTTCCCAGAAATGTACCAAAATGAATATGATTATTTATACAAAGAACAGCTAAAAGACGGAGTTCCTGAGAAAGAAGGAGTAAAATTAGCATCTTTCAAGTTCAGCAACTATAAATTCGACCAATTTAGTGAGAAGCTTCTTGCTGAGGTCATATACCCTGCTCTGGCTATGATATTTGTTTTCCTTATCATGTGGTTTTTCTTGGGTTCTTTCATTCTCACTTTCACTGGTCTTTTTTGCATTATTTATGCAATTGGTCTTTCATATTTTCTTTACACAATGGTCTTCAAAATAGACTTCTTTCCTTTTCTGAATGTTACTACGCTGGTGTTTTTGGTGGGCATTGGAGCCGATGATGCGTTTGTGTACTACGACATATGGAGACAGACGCGTGCTGCTAATCCTTATGCAAACATCATGCAGCTGACATTGAAAACTCTGCGTTACGCTGCCCTCTCCATGCTTGTCACAAGCTTGACAACAGCATCAGCATTTTTCGCCGGAGTATCTTCCTCCATTACTGCCATTAGGTTGTTTGGACTGTTTGCTGGTACATCCATTTTGACAAATTACTTGCTGATGATAACATATTTCCCAGCTGTTGTTGCTTTGCACGAGAAGTGGGTGTTGAAGTACACAGATGGACACTCGAGCCTGGAGGTTGTCCCAACGGAATCAAATGATTGTGGGAAGATTGACTGGACTGAAATTGCACCTGTAGCGCAGGATATGTCAGAAAACACCACTACTAAGTTAGAAGAAAATAGTCGCGTCAAAGAAGAGGAGCGACACTTTTGTTTTCTGCAAGTCATTGATTTTCCATGTTCTTCATTAATATCAGCCACAAATTTTTTCAAAACAGCCAGCTTGAAGGTGTTTGAAGATTATTTACCTAGAGCAGTGATCAAGTTACGTTATATATGGATTGCCCTGTTAGTGTGTCTTACAGCTGGATTTCTGTGTGTTAATTTTGTTGAACCACGTTTGCGGCCACCAGATTCCAAGGATTTCCAAATGTTTGCCTCGTCGCATCCATTGGAAAGGTATTTCTTAAAATACAAAAGCTACTTTAGATTTGAACAAAAAACTCGGGGCATGTCGGTGGAAATGTTGTGGGGAATAAAACCGGAAGATAATGGTAATCACCTTAACCCAGATGATAAAGGAACTCTTCAAATGGATGAAAACTTTGATGAATCAAGTCTGTTCAGTCCATCAGGCCAAAGTTTCCTTCGTTCCTTGTGTCAGTCTATTAGAAATCAATCTTTTTTCTTGGCATTCGGCTCAGGTCGGCAGTGCCCTATCGAAACATTTATTGAAATTTGTACCTCTCCAGACACAGCTTGTTGTGGGGTCAATGCTTCTTTTCCATTTTCAGCTGATACTGTAGAGAGATGTGTGAGAAAAGCTTCAACCTCAAACGACACAGGTTTTTTGTTTGATGGACAGGAGAAAATAGTTGGTTTTCATCTGCAAATACTCACAGATCAATCATTTACCACCAGCTTTACTGCTATGGATGACTTTTGGAAGAAAGTGACATCTTGGTTTGACAAAGAAATGGCTGAAGCTCCGACAGGATTAGAGAATGGTTGGGTAGGATGCTGGAATCTAGACTTCTATGCTCTTCAGATTGGACTGTCAGAAGGAACGTACTCTTCATTGGGAATCTCTGTTGCTGTATCATTTGGAGTCATGCTGTTTACAACCCTCAACATCTTCATCAGCATCTATGCAATCATCACCATCATTGGAATTATTTCCATAACCATTGGGTGTCTTGTGCTGGCCGGCTGGCAGTTGAATATCTTAGAGTCTATTGTGGTGTCAGTGGCAGTGGGTCTGTCTATTGACTTCACAATGCATTATGGGGTGGCTTACAGACTTGCACCAGACAAAAGTCAGAGAGATAGCAGAGTGCGTTATTCATTAGTGCACATTGGATCTGCCATAACAATGGCTGCTGTTACAACATTTCTCACAGGTAGGGTGATTTTTAAGTTTGGATGATGGGAGTATTCCGATCAGGTTGGAAACTTGCCCGACTAGATAGAAAAATTCCATCACTGATTTTCGAGTTCTTTTGGGACTGTGAGTCATATATTACAAAGACTCTTAACTTTTCCGTTGAAAGACTTTACCTTAATTTCGATCGGGTTCAACAAATACTTAATCTTGATGTTGACAACTGACATTCAAAACATCTGAAATTGTCAGTTTTGATGAATTATTTTTTGCTTAAAAACCATGCAATGCCCCGGCTTATTATTAAGGCACCCTTGAGCAATAACTGATAGCTAATTTCATATTTTATGCCACTTTGTCTCCATCCAGGTTTGATGATGATGCCAGCTACAGTTTTGGCGTACTTTCAGCTGGGACAGTTCTTAATGTTAGTAATGGTCTTTAGCTGGCTTTATTCTACCTTTGGCTTCCTATCAATCTGCTCAGTAATCGGCCCAAAGAACAATTTTGGACAGTTAAGCATCACTCGCGTCTTCTGGAAGTGTGGACTTTGCAGAAGCGAACCAGTGCGCAGAATCGAAGTTCATGCGAGTAAAACCATGACTAACGAGGTTATAAACTTGAATGAGCATGTCCACGATGAGCGGCTACTAGAGAAGCATGATGACGTCACTTCCCCTTTGCCTGAAAATCCAGACTGTGTATAGTTTTCCATGCTATCAACATTGCTTGAAAAAAGCGCTTTATTTTAACTTCCACTTCAAGAATTGTCAGAAGATATTACTACAATAAGCAATTACTATCCTCAAAAAGAACTTAAAATCGCCAATTTTACATGAGATTACGAGTAAAAATTGCATCAGTTGAAAAACTTTGTACCTATTGTAAATATTTTTATCTGAGTTTTCACTTAGAAAAATGCCTGGCGGATTGTCTTCTCTGTTCAAAAGTAACGAAGAAAAATTTGATTACTCTGTTTAATGTATAACCTGCCATCAAGTAGCGACTATGGTTCAACCACATTGTCTTGTATAACTGTATCATAATACACATATTACCCGTCTCTAAGCATGCCTCGCATAGCATTACAATTTGAATCTAAAGCTTAAGGGAAAATGTCAACCATAGAATTTATCTTACATTACGCAAAAGTGCGCTATGTTAGAAATGAGGAGAAACCGTGAACCACAGATCAACAGGTAAGAGATAAAGATGCCGACTGACAGTAACGACAAAGAGAAGCCAAAGAAGGAAATGTCGCGAAGTTAAGTGAGGCAAAAGGGGACAAGGTACTTTTAATTATTATTAGGCCAGAATCAAAAAGAAATTGTCTACAGGGATAATCAAGAACCATAAAGTTTACTGCTCAGCGAAGCAAAGTGGCTCATGTTGAAGGATTGTACCCACACACCACAGGCTTACACAACAATAAAACCATCGGGACGTTCAACCTCCCCTTCCTCGAGAGAACCTCGTGAGTTCTTTCCATAAAGGTTCAACTACCAAACCTGTGAAAAGACCTAAAAATCTTCTGTTGTTCAGATGCCAAGAAAAAAAGGAAAAGAAAAACCACTGGACTGCATCATCTATATCAACAATCTAAATACTAGGAACGCAACCCCACCCGAACTTCCCTCGTTTTTTTCACTTCGCTGCTACTTTTGCACTGTTTACTATCGTATTCCTTTTTACCAAGTGAACGCCTTCTACAGGCTAGAAGATAAACGAAAAGACTGCTTTGCAGGCTAATCTTCATTCACTTCCTTTCCCTTGAATTCTGTATTTTTTTCAGGGGGTGCAAGGTGTTTCGAGTTTCCCAATAGGCAACTGCCAGGAAAGGCGGACAAAAAAACTGTTCTCACTACATCTATTCTATTTTGTACGCAAAATAATTACATAAGAAAGTTTTGTTGTAGAGAGGAATGCTAGGTCTAAACGACTTCTTGTCTCTCAATTGGTTGCCACTACAAGAGCGAAGACAACCGAACTCACTTGAATTAGTTCACAAAGTTTTGAATGGCCCCTTTGGCCCAAGTGTTTGCACCTAAATATGCATAACCCATCTAAGGACTTAGGATCCACCAATGGTACTCAAATAGAAAACCAACCAGTAACAAATGCTTTCCAAGATCATGCTGCTACTCTCTTATACTGTCATAGCATCTTTAACATCTCCTTCTTAACAAAACTTAGGCCACCAGATCATGTTAACTTTTTCAGTTTGCACCTCGAATTCCTTCTGCTATTATTTGTTAGCGGATCTTGGTTAGGACAAAGTAAAGTATGAAGTCCATCATATAGCATAAATTGTAGTACACAGTACATAGTATGGTCTTCAACAGCTCCTTTTTCATCATTTTTCTCTCTTTCCAATTGCTTTTATATTATTTTAGTTGGTTTAGTTCTATGTTGTAGAAATGTTACCAATAAACTATGTCGCGTTCCCGATGCCGCAGACACGTGGTGTTGTGCAGCGGAGTTCGCCAGTATAACCACAGTGTTGAACTTTAGACAAGTAGCAGCATCAAACTCTTTATTCACTTAAGCTGGCAGTCTTTGTACAGCACAGGCGGTAAAAACTATAGTACGAATACATGAAGGTTCGATATAAGGAAAACCGAAAGACTATGAAACTAGAAATGATAAAAATGAGGAATATTACAAGCGTAACTTACATCGGATCTTGACTCCGGGGTAGAGAACTCCTAAACTCCGTTCGGCTCCGAAATGGTTTCACTACAATGACTTTTCGCAACTGAACTACTAGCTCATAGAAGGCGAATTTAGTTCTTACACTTTGACGTAGGGGAAATAGAAATGAACAGTGCTTTGTGTAGCTAGCTTCGAGCGGATATTCGCTAGTCACGGAATAGAAATCAAACAGCACGCTAACAAATTTAATAGAAAGTCATTGAAAGTTTCTTAGTGTCTTTGTGCTAAAAACGGAAGAGTTACATAAGTAAAAAAGATTAGAGTTCGTATCCGTAAACGTGACAAACTAATATTTTTAATTATTATTATTATTTGCACGATATAAAACAAGCTAACTTCATCAGTGATTACAACTATCCTAAATCATAAGTTCTACATCAGATAAAATTGAAAAATTGAATAGTTTTCGGCTAAATATACACATTTAATTGACACAGACAGGTTTTCAACAGATAATAAAATGGTAACATATGTACTGTCTATTAACTATCAGACTGTCATGAGGTTTCTTGTGCATCACATACTGGAGTTACACTCAAATATTTTTTCTTCACTCAAAGGACTGAAAAGCGTTTCAAAAGATGAGTAGGAAATATTGCAAAGACAGCTTAGGTGTATAATGATACACTTTGATGTCTGGTGTGCAATCCCACTTTTTGATAAATATTTGAATTGAAGGGAGATAACAATCTAACAGGATTTTGGATTGTATTCATAGCCATCTAAGGTGGAAGAGATTATTGATGTCATTATTGGGTGTTATCCCCCTCAAATAATGATCATAAGATTATTGATCTTCCCTTCTGTGTTGATCACAAAAAGTCTTGACAAATTAGCAAAAAACTCTACACCATGTGACAACAATGCTTTTGATTTTTTCCTAACTGTGAAATGACTTTTTTTTAGTTTTGGAGCATTATATGGTGTTCTCCAACCTCCACGTCTAGTCATTTGTTCACTCGTTCCCTTTCACTCTCATCCAAGTTTGCTGTGTTGATACATGCCCCAGTAAGCTGAATCACGCTGATGGATTGCTTCAGTATGCATATGGGAAGAGTCAACCACGCTAGAGCTTTCCACAGGCCAAATGTGGTGCCAGCAACTGACACTACAACAAAAAGTAATCATATCTCTCAGTTGGTATGTGCAGGCCATACTTCAGTGCATGGACACCATTATGATTGCTCATATATCTTTCAGTTCTCCTTTCTATGTCATTGATCACGTGTTGAAATAGGAGCCATTTCAACTTCCGGTCTTTGAATTGAGTGAATTTTGCACTTTAACACCGAGGATTTTAACCGAATGAAAGGTTTTAGGGAACTTTTTCTACTTCCAGTAGTTGTTTTGGCAAAAGATCTACATCTTAAGTAAATGGTAAAATTTGGTGGAGAGTATCCCTTTGATATTAAATCTCTATTCTTGTACCCCTTGGTTCAAATAGAGGGGATCTTACCATTTTCTGAGTCTATACCGTAAGCTATGGAATCTCATTTTTCTGCATGGATTTACGTCCAGCATGGTCTGCACTTGAATGAAAGATCCAAGTGGAAAACTTGGTCCATAACTTAGAGTACAGCCCTCAAACTTGGTTCAGATAAGAGACATTGATAAATACAAGAACAGACTTAACCTGCTTTTTCATTAACATAAACATTTGGTGATAATCTCGAAATCTGTCATTTCACTGCGTTAAGTTTAAAACATAGCATGTTGTCTTGAAACACAATTGTATCTGCACAGGAGTAATAAAAGCTTGTACTTACAGACTGGCCCATTTGTAAAGTGAACCAAATACAACATGCAGAAAAACAGTTCATTTCCTGCACACATGATAAACAGTACTACCTGCAGAGTAAATTAGTACATAATGCCTGAGTTAAAGAACTGGGCCCAGTTGTTCGAAGATCAATTAGCGCTAACCCAGGATTAAATTTTAATCCAGGTTTCTATATTTCTCTGTTCAAAAGCCATTTTAAGATAATTTTCCCAATTCTTCTTAGAGCATTCAGTCATCAAATTGTAAACAAATGGAATTAAAGTAAATTTTATTTTAAAGCTTTCAGATCTGCAATTAAATTTCCCGGTAACCCTGGGTTATCTTAACCCGCCTTTGAACAACCCGGCCCTGAAAATTAGAGAAGTCATCAATTAAGTGAGTTTCTCACTGGTTTCCTGCAGATAAGAGGCAGCAGCTCCTCACAGCTGAACTTGTTACTGGTCTCCCTGTGACAGCTATGTGTTCAGATCTTAACCTTTTACACCATAAAATAATATAGATATTCTCCATTCCGTTCTGCACTTAATTCCTGAGGTGCTATAAAGGAGAATTTGTTTAATAATTGAGAGCTTCAGTTGGTGATAATTTCCTTTACTCATGAACTAACCATGTGTTTTAGGAATGATATTGTAAGGAGAAATAAGATACAAATCAGTTTTGGGGGTTAAAGGGTTGGCGACATACATGGGACCTGTATTAACAGCTTTTTTGATATTGACTTGCCCTGTAAGTTCTCAACAGATGTACGAATGTCAACATACCCTTGAATGATAATAAATCCTTAGGAAAAAGTTGCTTGACAAATCTATTTTCTTGTGACTAGCTCCTCCTTTAAATAGTGAACTGAAGATTGAGAAAGAAAGAAAGAAAAATTATTACATTTTTAGACAATGACTGCTCATGAAAAACAACACAACTATGAGTAAAACCCAACATTCATCAATAGTGTGACAATAGTCAATGAATAATTGATCGATTACTAATAGTCAGATTGAAAAAATAACTTTTTTACCTTTGCACATGAATCCAATGACTGGCAATATCCAAACATATCAACATTTGGAAAACAAATGTGAACTTTGGATAAAACACTGACAACATTACAAGAAGTGCTGTGGTAACACATCTATGGAAAAGGTAATGAGAACTGGCTCTGTCAGATACTTGATAGTTATCTAGGCTAAAGATCTTTTTTATTAATTCTCCCTACTGTCTGCTATACATTTCTTATAATGTAAGTGTGGAGAAATTGGTATTGGATCAACTAATAATTCTCTAATTGATATTTTTCTCAATTCTTATCACTTGTTTGCTTGACATGGTATTGACAATTTGTAAGGAGAAAATCTGTCTTGGTCACTCACTGGTGTTAAAGGGTTAAAGCATCTTCTCAAATCTCTCTTTATTAGCATTTAATTTCAAGAATAATTAATGAGAGGGTACTTAACCTATCTGTGAGCATATCTAACATGGCACCAAACTTTGTACCTAAGAAGTTAAGAAAAATGAAGGATGAATAGCTTGTAATGGAAAGATCTTCACATTATAGTCATATGTGAGTTATATCAAACCATCTAAGACAAAAGCATCTCTCTATTATAGAGAATTATAACCCACCGATTAATTTTGGTGCAATTTTATTGGTTACTTTATGTCACGTGGTGCAAAATCACAGGACAGTTATTATGCAATAACCCCCGTCCGCATCGATATTTGTCCAATTTTTCTGTGAAAAAGAAACATAGTCAACACAAGAGTTTCAACTTTTCCATTCACCTATTTACATGGAAGGAAACCAAACTCTTTTTTTTGCCTGCTTGCTTGCGTCAATCACGCACATTTGCTATAAGATCACCACTGGCTTTTTTACTGTGTTTATGTGCAGTTTATTTGCAATGTGAAAACTAATGGGAGGGTTATAAAATAAAAAAACCCCATTCTGGCTTGCTGGTATGTCGGCTGATAATGTCCTTGGCTGAGAGATTGTCCTCAAATATTCATTTTTCGGACAATCTCTCAGCTGCGGACATTATCAGCCGACATACCAGCTGCCCGAAGGGGTTTATTTACTAAATATTATCATGCTGCTCACAAAGAGGAGAAACAGTTCCATACAAACTTGAAACCCAAAAGAAAATATCTGATTGCATTTGGAATACTAGCCAAAGTTCAATCCCAGGGGGGGAGGAAGGTGAAGTTCCCAAATTCTACTCACTGGGACCCTGATTTAGGGTGCCATGGATTTTGCTGAAAGATAAGTCCAACAAAGGGACTGGCAAAGTAAACAAATGGACAAACTGTTGCAACCTGCCCTCCAACTATACAAGATGAAAGCTTTAGAAATATTCCATGACTTAAGATTTTGTTTGAAATTAATACAATAATGTTGCAGCTGCATATTATTAATAGTGGAGTGATCAAATTTTCTTGTTTGAGTTGAACAAACAAAGAACCATGTATTCAAAACATTTGAATGCTACAATATTTGTAACATTTCTAGAATAGGATATTTCAAATTGTCCTTATCTCGTAATGGAATATTTATATTTGAGAGCTTGCCTGTTATGTACCCTCCCCAAAAATACATGTGTATCCCCCCTCAAGAAGGGTGAGACACACTGGACAGAATAAAGAGTGAGGTGCATGTAATTTGCACAAAGGGGTAAGCTACTTTGGAAAACAACATTGATCCTTGATCACGATGCATTCTGCCCTTCTGTAAATGACGTTGAGAAGAGGTTTCCTTGGAATTTATCCTGGTTACGCAAATTAAATATAAGACTGTGTGACGCATTACAAAATTTAAAATATCCTGGCGATGGAAAATAAAACCTCGTAATAATCGAACTCACTTTGATTAAAGTATCGTGCTGCATGCCCATCAAATGCGTCCAGCAAGCCACTAAGAAGATACATGGATACCGCCATAAAACAGTCCGTCGGCATGAAATAGAAGGACAAGATAGCTAACACAATCCGTGCATAACCTGTCAGATCATTAAAGTACCATTTGTTGTTTGAAATCTCTGAGACTAACAACGGTTATTGAACAATAGTATTGAAAGCCTGAAAGAAACATGCCATTTCTACGGAAAAACAGCTGTTGCAAGTTGGAAAACAAGGTAAAATGTGGAAGGAAAAAAATTACTCACCTATGATATTAGGAATAAATAGAAATACGTTTCCAGCCATTGTTCGCGAGGGAGAAATCTAAAATATAGGCTTCCTAGAAGCGAACCATTAGCTTTAACAAGCTCGCTTTAGAACGTTTTCAGTCTGTTATTGAGTTCCTCTCAGGGGTGAGGTAGTCCAAGGCGGGAGTGCAGTCTGATTTCAGTTCGTTGTTATCGATCAAATAACTCCTTTTAACAAATCCAGAATTTCATTTCCCTGTCTCATTCAGTAAAGAAAAGAACTTTTAGTGTTTATGAGATTTCGGTCACAAAAAACGAAAAACAACAAAAAAAGATAAGCACAACCTTATAGGGGAGGGATCAGGTTAGATTGACGATGTGGGAGTCACCTTAGCAGCCTCGGCCGTAAGGCCTGGGAACGAAACAAAACGACACGTCGAGTGTCTTTCATTAAGCTGAGGTGGAAAATTTTGCGCAATAAATTATTTCTGTACTGAGTTCTATTCTACTGATTTGTGAAATACTTTAACACAATATGGAATACGACGATGAAAACCATTACGAACAAAAACGCCGCAGACAGATCCGTGTTTGGACCGATGGTTGCTTCGACATGGTTCACTTTGGTCACGCTAACGCGCTTCGACAAGCGAAAGCAATGGGCGATGTTCTTCTGGTAGGCGTTCACTCTGATGCAGAAATCACCTTACATAAAGGACCGCCAGTTTTTACCCAGGAAGAAAGGTATAAGATGGTTCGAGCGATCAAGTGGGTCGATGAAGTAGTTATGGGCGCTCCATATGTAACTACGGTGGAAACTCTCGACAAGTACAACTGCGATTTCTGTGTTCATGGTGATGACATCACCTTGAGTGCAGATGGAAAGGATACTTATGAAGAAGTAAAGACTGCAGGCCGATATAAAGAGTGCAAGCGAACAGCTGGGGTATCAACGACAAATCTTGTCGGAAGGATGCTTCTTATGACTAAGGAACACTTTGATAGGGCGCCATCGCCAATAGGAAATTTGGACCCTACTCAGGTCAGTAGGGCCAGTTCTGGTCCATCCGCCAAGAGCCCCTGGACATGTGTATCCCATTTTTTGCCCACTTCTCAGAGGATCGTCCAATTCTCAGATGGTAAGGAGCCTAACCCTGGGGACAAAATAGTTTATGCTGCTGGAGCATTCGACCTCTTCCATATTGGTTTGCTGGATTTCCTTGAAGCTGCCAAGAATGAAGGTGACTATCTCATAGTTGGCCTTCACACAGATCAGGTTGTCAACCGTTACAAGGGAAGTAACTATCCTATCATGAGTCTACATCAAAGAGTGCTTAGTGTCCTGGCCTGTCGTTATGTTGATCAGGTGATCATTGGTGCACCCTATAAAGTAACTACTGAGTTGCTGGAACAATTCAAGGTACTACATTCTTTACATAATTTTTGTAGTGTTATGAAAGATCTACAGCTGTTCTTGAATTTTTTTGAACATATTATTAATTGTGATACTACTAATAATTATGTTCATTCTTGAAGTTGATATTTTGTGCATTTCTTGGTGAGCATAGCCTTTGGCACTTAACCCTTCATACCCAAACATCATTAGGGATATTCCCTATACTGCTGTCTATACATTCCATTATTCTCCTGACTCTAATGTGTGATTCAGGGTTGGGGAGGGTAATAATAATTTTGTTGGGAGAAATTTGATGCTAATCTCTCTTAGAAGTCAAAGGGTTCCTGTGGAACATGTACCAATAAGCAAAGTTCTTACTTTTGCTATTCCTCATTTAGGTGGACCTGGTCGTTCATGGCAAAACAAATGTAATGGAGGAGGTAGATGGTACAGATCCATACGAAATTCCCAAACAAAGTGGAATTTTCAAAGTCCTCAGTAGTGGCTGCTCTCTCACAACAGCTGACATTGTTGACAGAATAATTAAACACAGGTTTGTAGCTATCCATTGCTGTACAACATTTTAATAACTTCTATAGTGATATGACTTTTTCTCAGTAAGCTAAATTTTCTCAAAGTCATTCACTGTGGTAGTATTGTCTCATCAGCTGCTATGTACATGATGTTTGAAGATTACAACTTTTTCTCCCAGCTCACCTTTTGCAGGTTGACATATGCATAGTTCAGTAAATTATTGTGACAACTTGATCTTGGCTACCTGGATATTTTCACTGAACCAACTGAAAAGAGGAGATGCTCTATCCCCTCACCTCCCCACCCCAATGCATCAGCTGACTATCCCTCACCTCCCCCCCAATGCATCAGCTGACTATCTGATACCAATCTCTCCCATCAAACTGAGAGTTGCTGGAAGAGACAAGCACAATCTAGAATTAAAAATAAAAGTAAATCAAACAAAATGCAACCACTTCATGAGAAAAAATCCAATTGTTTTTATTTGAGATAGGTTGAATTGTTTTCCCCTCTTTTATTGTAACCCTTTAATTCCCAATATTTGATTGTTAACTCATCCCTGTAGCTGCTATACATTTCCTTGTATATTAGTTACAAGAATTTGGTGTTAGATCATGGTAAACACTTCTACTTTTAAGGTTTGAGCATTCTCAGGACTTGTTTGCTGGATTTTGTATAGACATTACAGAGAGAAGTTACTTGTTAACCCATTAATAGACGCAGCTTTTGTGAAAAACTGAGTTTTGAAGCTAGTCGAGCAGATCTGGTATCACTGTTGTGGTTTTAAAAGCTCGAACTTACCACAAACCCATTGACAGCTTGTACACTCAATGGCCTTTCGATCCAAATGCAAAATGGCGGCCTGAAAATCTTGGGCATGCGCAGAAAGGAAAATTTCGAGATGGTTTTTGGTTTGAAAAGTAATGCCCCACTTGCAACTTTTACTTTTCTCTCTTTCTCCTGCCCTTTTTTCCCCTTTCCTTGCCTGAAGTTTCTCCTCACTTGCTGGAAATTTAGTAGGCTTCATTTTGGTGTGGAGATTTTTTAGGAAACTACTCATTATTTTCAAACCACATGCTCAGAAAGATAGGTGGGTAATGGAACAAGATTTTCGTGCAGATTTTCAGGTCAAAGTTACATGGTTTCTTGGCTATTTCTCCAATCTCCTTCACTCAATTGCGCACATTCTGGTATCATTTGTAAGATATTTTCAACCTGTTCAAGTACATGCTCAAAGTCGTGCTCCAGGGTTAAAAGTGATGACGTCACAAGATGTAGAAAGGGTGTGGGTCCACATGGGCGCTTATGGGCGCACTGGACGGCAATAGGTTAATCAATTCTGGGAGGTAAAGGGTTCAAATATCCAAGCTCAAGTTAAATTTATGGAAGACAGGAGGGTTGGCTATTTTCCTTCAAGCTGTACATGTAGATTGTGACCAATACAGGCCTGATAATTATTGGTACAAAATGTATGCAGCCATATATGTTATTTAATAATTGTTTGATGCATGTTTCTTTAGAATGCTGTATGAAGAAAGGAACAAAAAGAAAGAAAAGAAAGAAGCTGATGTTTTTGCTGCCATGGAACGGAGAAAGTCACAAAACCAGGAGAAGTCTGGTTGAACTACAAACTGAACTGTTGGTAGTTAGTTGTTCAATGGATTTTTACATAGGTTTTAGTTAAAATGAAAATTGTTTGCATGTGCATAACTATGTCTGTTTGTAAAAATAGCTAGTCAATTTCTATGTTAATTAACATGAACATTTACTTTAAGTTTTCATTTTATAATTCATAGAGGTGACTTATTCTGGGCTTATTTTGATTGTGTTAGGTCCTTCATAAAAGGAAGTAACTACTTTTGTATAATCAACATCTTACCTCCACTTGTAATGCAATTAAAAACCACAAATTGGCATTATAAACAAACAATTAATTGCTATGTAGTAACCAACCTTTGTGATGGATTTTATTTTAATGTACTGATTATTTCTCTCAGCCACCTACAAATTAAGCTGTTTCAGGCCCTGAGTCAGTGAGAGGGAGGACACAGCTATTTTCAGGGGGACTGTCTCTCCTTCCCCCTCATGCCCATTCTCTGTTTTGCCTGTCTCCGCTTACAGAGAGTATTGCACCACCTCTTTACAAGTTGCAAATGTATTAAGAACTAATCGCATTCCCCGTACAGGAGTTTTCTTGAATAGTATTACATACATGAAACTCGGAAAGGTATCAAGACAAAGGACACTCTTGCACTCATACTTAGTTAGGTGTTAGAAAAGTGGCATTTTTTGTTAGTGGTAGCACGATGTTCTGCATAACTGCCTCCAAATTTTTGTTCAGTGGACTGTTAAGTGATTGGAGTGCAGTCAGTGCTGATTTTTGAAGACTGGGTTTTTGGGGGACATTAATTTTACTTGAACTGAGTCATTGAAGAATAGTTGTGTGCTATACACTACTGGAGACTGACCAAATACCCTAATACATTCATGCGGTGCCATATATTTTAACAGAATAGAGATAGTAGAATATAGATTATACTTGTGATTATATCCACTGCCCTTACTAGTTGTTTAAATGATTTTGGCATTAAGTGGCTACCAGTGTAACTAAAGTTGGTTGTTCTTCTCACTTTCCTCTTTACGCAAACGTTTTAAAAATTGAAATAAAAATTGGTGCCACCGGAACATTGTTGTGTAAGTGACTGTGTTGTGGGTAGGAACTTTAATGCAATTCATAAAACCACACTAAACAGTAAGTTGGTGGCACTTTTCCAATGAAATGTGGTTGTTTTTAACAGGCAAACAATCCTTAAAGCTGGGGGAGTATAATTTGTAAAGAGACAACACACTTCCCCAATTCAGAGCAGAGAATTAAACATGTTTTCTTTATTATTAATTTTCTCACCTCCATTTTATACAAGCTGGTAAACATCTAAGACTATCCATTAATATGTACTTGAATACGTGATATATATTTAAAAGAGATTTCTTATTCTTCCCAGTGATCTTATTTCCCTTCACATCAGATTTGAGAATTTCAAGTCATATTCATATATTCCTAACTGTTATCATCATGTCGCATGTCGGCAAATGGTGACATGATACTGCAAGGAGTCCTAACTTGTTGACAAACTGACAGCTGAAGGTCAAATCAACAAATGTGGATTACTAATTAAAATAACATAATTCGTCAAATGAATGTATTTATATGCCTTTTACATGAAACAGGCTAATTCTTATGTGATTTTAAATTAAGGGACAACTTTAACATGACTTACACATAAAAGTATGTCTAAACACACAACTATCGCTCAATAATAACAAAAAACCGTCAGGGTTCATTGAGGATTACGAAACTTTACTTGTTACATTGATTCTACTAGTCTAATTTATGCTTTGCTTTTTAAATGTTTTCTACCCACAATACAAATTATGTATCTTAAATGAGAATCATTAAACAGGCAGTCAAAAATTATTACAACAATGATAATATTTTGAGAAACCAGCCATGTGTTTCATTTGTCTTATTCCCTTGAAACAATTTTCACACGAATTCCATTCTTTGGGGCCATCGTGATGGTTGCCTTTAGCTCAAGAGGTACCTGAAAGAATTAAGACAACAATCATTGTTAAAAGTTACAGGGCACTAATTAAACCTTGCAAAAAAAACCTGGAGTAAGACACATTTTGTGAGATATCACTTGCATTTGTCTTCATCTACAATATAATTACACAAAGGGGTTAAAAAGTGATTCTAAACATTTTCTTTTAAATATTTTAGTCTGTTGATATTAGGGAGCAGAAATTATTAAAATTACCAAAGAAATGAAACCTTGGAGAGTTACCTTTGAGCTACAGGTCATGGGAAGTCTGCCATCACAACTACTAGTAGTTTTGCTCAATTGTGGAAAACTCTTTCAGAACTTTCAATGAAACCTTGGGCATCTACATTGGAGGTGTCAACGAAAAAATTGGCACGCAGTGAATTTTGCCAGGTTCCTGGGTGAAACTGCATTGGGTTACCACCTATGGCAGTGTTTCACCTAACTCGCTGTAACCTTCAACAACCTAAATACAGTGAAATTTATAAATCCTTGGCTGGTGTAAATTGAAAATTTTCATTTAAAAATGATACCTCAGTTTCTGTTGAGTGCTCAAACTTAAACCTCTTAAGAATGTGAACCAGGGCCATTTTAGCCTCTATGAGTGCAAATCTCATCCCAATGCATGAGCGTGGCCCTGTGCCAAATGGGAGGAAGCAATATGGGCTGCGCTGTTGTTTAGCCTCCTGAGAAAACCTAGTGAACATACAAATAAACATGAAAACATAGCCACGATTAACTTAAGTGAAAATACATCTAGATCAAATGGTTGTTAGTGAAATAACAATCATAATATCAAGCATGAATGAATCTTTTAAGATGCCAAAATAGAACCTTGTGATTTCTAGTGATTTTATCAATGCTCTGGAGGACTTGAGTTTGCTTTGGTGGTAGACAAAAGAAAAAAACCTGCTGCCATTTGTCTGTTTCATGCACTGCATCCTCCCCCCTTTCACTTCTGTAAGTGGCTGAAAATACATTTGGCTGCAAAATAGCCATCCATTAGAAATAAGAGATGATGATGAGAAAGAACGATATTAACTAAGGAACATTGCAGCTTTATTTAACAGTAGATTCTCCAGACTAAATACATGTATCTTATTAGACGTTTTGTTGTGTAGTATTGCTGAGTATTTTTACGTATTTTGACTTGCCCGATGGGATGAGTATTATGTAAATAATAATAGCCCTATGGGCTGAGTATCAAAATACGTAAAAATACTCAGCAATACTACTCAACAAAACATCTAATAAGATTTGACGAGCCCATAGGGTGAGTCAAAATACAAATAACGAGTAAAAATACTCAGCGATACTACACAACAAAATGTCTAATAAGTTATTTATTGTCCAACATACCAAACTGTTATTTCAGTGCGGGCAAATTTCATGGACATTTATTTACGAGGAGCGCATGACAGAAGTATGCGAAGCGGAACGGAATTGGCGCGTTGTTGTGCTGCTGTTTCTATTTTCTTCATTAAATAAAGAAATTATCTGGTCGGCAAGCTGTTTTTCTTCAATCGATTCATCTAATGAACTTGGATCTATATTTGCCAGCAATTCTGACTCTTTGTCGTCAGAAATATGATTCAAATTGTCCGCCACTTTTTTCCCGTAACTACAATCCAATTCTTTGCTTGCGCGATGTGAGAAAACCTGTTTAACCAGTACTACAATAGACGAGTACAAATACTGCGTGATATTTGTACTCGTCTATGGCGTTATTTGTACTCGTCTAGGTGTAGTTGGATAATAAATAAAAATATTGTGAAGACTTGATGTTTAAATCTTGGGTATGAAAGGGTTAATTGACTTGTTTGTATCACAGGTAGCCCAAGCTCTCTATATGAACCACACAAGGAACAATATGGCATATCAATTTATAAGGAACAATATGGCATATCAATTTATAAGGATTTGTATGGGATTTTCTACTATAGATCCATGGAGATAGTTAAAAGTGAAAATATTCAATAAAAATGGCTTAAATCAAGCTTACAGCTTAAATCAAGTTAAATCGGCAAAATAGTTACTAGATAGATAGATAGATAGATGTTTATTAAGAATACCTTAATAGCAGCTGGAAGCTGAATTGCAAAGGTGTACAAATTATGTAATAGAACTATACAATAAAATCAAACCTAAAACGGAACTAATTTACATATACAATTGTAATAAATGTTAGTTAAAATGTCTTGCGCTTGCTGGAATGAAAGTATCTCTGAACCGATTTGTTTTAAAGGAAACTTTAAATGGTCTGTGTCATTGTGACTCCATAAGTTGATCTCGGTTATCGAAAGGTAGTAAGTGGTATAAACAATCCAAGGGATTGGAGACAATGTTGTTAAAGAATTTTAAGCAAAGGTCTTCTCTCCGATCCCTTAGGGTTTTCAGCTCTAACAACTGAAGCACTTCTCTATTATGATTATCATAGCCATATATAATTTTCAAGGCTCTCTTTTGAACACGCTCTAAACTTAAGCTCAAATAATTGGGGAGACTATAATGGTAGACCTGACATCCATAAAGTAAGACAGATTGAATACAAGCAACATAAAAATTTACTAATTCTGGTGATGGTACCTTAGCTTACTTTAACTGAGTTAAAAAGTAAAGGCGCTTAGCGGCCTTTTTAATTGTCTCAGTAACACGGGTGTTCCACTTGAGGTTGGCTTGAAAATACACACCCAGTAATTTCACGACACTAACGGCACTAACCTTAGAGCCATTTATTTCTATGAGATCGTAGGAAGGAGGGGAGAGCACAAAGGAAACTCTTAGCTCATTACATTTTTTCAGATGGAGTTGAAATGAGTTGAGTGTTGACCAGGTAGCTACTTTGTTTATCATAGACTGCGCATTGCTAGGACCACCCTTGCTTATGATTTCATATACTGTCGTGTCATCTACATATTTTATACAATCACTGGCTGATGGTACTTTCAAATCATTTATCATAACCAAGAATAGCCACGGTCTCATTTGGGTTCCCTGCGGTACTCCTGCTCGGACTGATCCCACTCTGAGAGACAATCATGTATGTACGTACGTACGTACATACAAACATACATCATACATACATACATACATACATACATACATACATACATAC